AGCGAAGGTGGAAACAAGTGAACGTGAGGAAATTAGAGTTTATAGATTAATTATTTGATGACCTGGATTGCAACAATATGTTACAAACTGATAGTTTGGCCAGGTCAGCTATTTTAACATTCTGATAGAGCAAATGTACTTGATTGACTATAAAAATACAAGTTCATGCACTTTAAAATTTCAAATGCAAGATGAAGCACTACTTACTCCCGTTGGTACAACTTCATGTACGGAGTATCATTTTGACCATTTTCTCTGCATTTTACTCGTGCTTTACTAATGTGTTTAGGCGTAATGTAAAAACTGTTAAACTACGTATGTAATACTCCGTACATATATGCCTTCTGATTACAAACCACCGCATACACGGATACACAATTAGAAATTACTTCAAATAGGACAAAAACTATGAAAAAACTCAAAATAGGACTTGCTATGTTTTTATTCCAAAATAGGATCATAATGGTCCTATTGGAAACATGCCTATTTTTTCATTCCATTCTTACCCCTTCTTTAAATATGAGTAAAAGAAAGGCAACAGTCATAATTAAATGTATAATTCATAATAAATTCGAAAAAAATTCAAAAATTCGTAGAAAAATAATTAAAAAATTAATAAAATACTCCCTCCGTCCCTTAAAACTTTGCCAAGTTTGACCGACACGGAGATTAATAAAGTAAAAACTGTGTGGTTGAGGTTTAACTGAAACCACATATTCTTTACTTAAAAGGGAAAGTGGCAAAGTTAATGTGACATCCAAAAAAGGAAAGTTGGCAAAGCTTTAAGAGACGGAGGAAGTATTTATAAAACAAAGAATTAAAAAAAATGTTTTTAAAAATATTTTTTTAAAAAATTAATAAAAAATAGTAAAACTCCACAAAACAATTAAAAAAAATATGGATGCCTTTCCCACCGCCTATACTACCTCCCTGCACCACCACCTCCGATCGGTGTAAAAAATGCCATTTTTTCTGAAAATGCCAAAAAATGGCATATTACTCCATTGAATGCCAACATTTTCATTATTTCTGCCATAAATATGGCATTCATAATGAATTTGGCATTTTTTCCCCCGGTGACCGGAGGTGGTGGTACTGCCTCCCTGCACCACCACCTCCGATCGGTGAAAAAAATGTCATTTTTACTAAAAACTGCAATTTTCTGAAAATGCCAAAAAAATGCCTATTTCTCTTTGAGAATGCCAACATTTCATTGTTTTCAGCCATAAATATGGCATCCGTAATAAATTTGACATTTTTTCCCCAGGTGACTGGTAGTGGTGGTGCTGGGGCGGCAGAGATTTTTTTTTTGCGTTTTTATTATTATTATTATTATTATTATTATTATTATTATTATTATTATTATTATTATTATTATTATTATTATTATTATTATTATTATTATTATTATTATTATTATTATTATTATTATTATTATTATTATTATTATTATTATTATTATTATTATTATTATTATTATTATTATTATTATTATTATTATTATTATTATTATTATTATTATTATTATTATTATTATTATTATTATTATTATTATTATTATTATTATTATTATTATTATTATTATTATTATTATTATTATTATTATTATTATTATTATTATTATTATTATTATTATTATTATTATTATTATTATTATTATTATTATTATTATTATTATTATTATTATTATTATTATTATTATTATTATTATTATTATTATTATTATTATTATTATTATTATTATTATTATTATTATTATTATTATTATTATTATTATTATTATTATTATTATTATTATTATTATTATTATTATTATTATTATTATTATTATTATTATTATTATTATTATTATTATTATTATTATTGTTATTGTTATTGTTATTGTTATTGTTATTGTTATTGTTATTGTTATTGTTATTGTTATTGTTATTGTTATTGTTATTGTTATTGTTATTGTTATTGTTATTATTATTGTTATTGTTATTGTTATTGTTATTGTTATTGTTATTGTTATTGTTATTGTTATTATTATTGTTATTATTATTGTTATTATTATTGTTATTATTATTGTTATTATTATTGCTATTATTATTGCTATTATTATTGCTATTATTATTGCTATTATTATTGCTATTATTATTGCTATTATTATTGCTATTATTATTGCTATTATTATTGCTATTATTATTGCTATTATTATTGCTATTATTATTGCTATTATTATTGCTATTATTATTGCTATTATTATTGTTATTATTATTGTTATTATTATTATTATTATTATTATTATTATTATTATTATTATTATTATTATTATTATTATTATTATTATTATTATTATTATTATTATTATTATTATTATTATTATTATTATTATTATTATTATTATTATTATTATTATTATTATTATTATTATTATTATTATTATTATTATTATTATTATTATTATTATTATTATTATTATTATTATTATTATTATTATTATTATTATTATTATTATTATTATTATTATTATTATTATTATTATTATTATTATTATTATTATTATTATTATTATTATTATTATTATTATTATTATTATTATTATTATTGTTATTATTATTGTTATTGTTATTGTTATTGTTATTGTTATTGTTATTGTTATTGTTATTGTTATTGTTATTGTTATTATTATTATTATTCTTATTGTTATTGTTATTGTTATTGTTATTGTTATTGTTATTGTTATTGTTATTGTTATTGTTATTGTTATTGTTATTGTTATTGTTATTATTATTGTTATTCTTATTGTTATTGTTATTGTTATTATTATTGTTATTATTATTGTTATTATTATTGTTATTATTATTGTTATTATTATTGTTATTATTATTGTTATTATTATTGTTATTATTATTGCTATTATTATTGGTATTATTATTGTTATTATTATTGCTATTATTATTGTTATTATTATTGTTATTATTATTGTTATTATTATTGTTATTATTATTGTTATTATTATTGTTATTATTATTGTTATTATTATTGTTATTATTATTGTTATTATTATTGTTATAATAATAATAATAATAATTATTATTATTATTATTATTATTATTATTATTATTATTATTATTATTATTATTATTATTATTATTATTATTATTATTATTATTATTATTATTATTATTATTATTATTATTATTATTATTATTATTATTATTATTATTATTATTATTATTATTATTATTATTATTATTATTATTATTATTATTATTATTATTATTATTATTATTATTATTATTATTATTATTATTATTATTATTATTATTATTATTATTATTATTATTATTATTATTATTATTATTATTATTATTATTATTATTATTATTATTATTATTATTATTATTATTATTATTATTATTATTATTATTATTATTATTATTATTATTATTATTATTATTATTATTATTATTATTATTTTTAAATTATTTTTTTTAAATCATTATTATTTAAATATTTTTGTTAATTTTTTAGTATTTTTTTATGAATTTTTATTATTTTTCATTATTTTATTATGAATTAAAACATTTCAATAGCTATAATGTTATATTTGTTCAAGGAGTAAAATGCATAAATAGTCCTTGAACTATCATCGACATATCGTTTGGTCCTTGAACTATTAAATCTATCATTTTTGTCCTTAATCTATTTAATCTATATTAATCGAGTCTTTCCGTTAAAATTTTCCGTTAACATTAACGGTAGCTACTTTATTAACGTCTCATAATTTTAAAGATTTTAGAACAATGAAATTATTTTTAAATTTAAGTAGCTAATCTATTTTTTTTAAATATACATACATACACATACACAAATAAAAATTATAAATAAATAATTAAATAAATACTATAAAACTAAATGTATGGCTTAAATAATTTGTAGTATATATGACTTATAATAATACCATAAAACCAAATGTATGGCTTATAATAGAGAATCAAATAACTCATTATATGCATATGAGCAATTGAGCAAATAAAATTAAATGAGAAAATGAGGACGGTTGTTACTATTAGTAATTATATTAAAAGAAAATTAATGACTAAAACTCATCCATTTTTGCAATACATGCTCTCATTAGTTTTTTTTCCCAAAATAATACTCCGTATTTAAATTCATAATATCTGACAAATAAATAAATATTTTTATGGACTAATTTGCCCTTACATTTCTTTCTATTATAATATGCCCTTCGATTGATGTTATAAAACTCTAGCTTTCTACTCATTTTCTAAAAACTATAGCCATTAGCTCGTCGTCGCGGCACCTGTCGTCCTCGTCGCTGTGGCACCCGCTGCCCCAATCTCCACACCCGCGGCACACGCCTCCCCCGTAGCCGCGGTCGTCCCCATGCGCCGCCATCATCTCCATAAAGTTTGAATAATAAAGAACCATACAAATTATACCAAAGAATTATAGTGGGACAGATCGAAAAGGAAAGATGAGACAATCTTAGCATGACGGATGACTTATATAATTGAAGTCATACATTTGGTTTTGTATTATATATTTAATTATTTATTTATAATTTTTATATGTGTATGTGTATATATATGCATATTTAAAAAAACTAGATTAGCTACTTAAATTTTAAGAATGATTGTATTGTTCTAAAATGTCTAAAATTATGAGATGATTGTATGTAAGTAATAAATTAATTACTTGCCATCAAAGTTAACGACAAACTTTAAGAGAAGGGCTCGTTTGATATAGATTGAATAGATTAAGGATAAAAATGATAGATTTAATAGTTCGAGGATCAAAATGATATGGTAGGACCATTCATGCATTTTACTCTTGTTCAAGACACACATAATTAGTCTTACGAAAACATAATTTATTTTTTGGTCCTTTTTGTGCAAAGTGAGTGACTTTTAGTCCTATTTTGACAATTAACCCATACACACTACTATCCGTTAATTATAATCTAATCATTCCTCTAATAATGAATTAAGTTGGTACAAAAAACAGTACACGTAATTGTGTGTATAATCTGCATCAATCTTTGCTGATTGATTGGGTTTGAGTTTTCATAACTCATCTCCTTCACGGAAGTCTTTCCAAGAAGTCATAACGGAAAAATTATTGTAACGTATTTATCTCAAAAATATGATTTTGGGGCTATAAATCTGGAACGTCTCCTGAGTTTCTACACCTCGTCGATTAGTTTTCTTTAAGGACCAGTGTTCTGTTTGTCTGAAATGGACTTCTAAATTCACGAAATCTGTAAATAAAATCATTAACTATTGGCGGGTGCATTGAATATTGAACTGTCACCTAATTCTTAGAGCTAGGAAAGAAGTGAGGGAAGTTATGTTTTTGGTTTGTTTCACGAGAATTTTGTTGGTCACAAGAAAGTTGTCAAAGAGAAAGCTCTGATTCTCAAATGGTGCAGTTATTGTTGCGCCTTAATAAGTTATTGCGTAGCAGGTGTTTGTGTTTTGTCTGCTTAGAACTAGTATATGCTGTGTCATAACAAACCACAGGGAAATCTTTCCTCTGCCTTATTCACACCTACATTGCATTCTTGAAATGGATCATTCTAGAGTACAAGTGGACCTGAAAGAAGGAGTAGAAATTACCAAAGATAAGAATGGAATTGGCCAAGTTCTGCTTCATAATTCCAGGGGAGCATCAGCTCGAGTTAGTTTTTAGACTTCAAAAGATTAATGGATTACATATTTATTAACTGTGTCTCCCCTTTTTTTTGGCTAAGTGCTAGTTTAACATGGTTGCTATTATTACTTTCTTTACAGGTAAGCCTTCATGGAGGACAAGTCCTTTCATGGAAGACTGCCCATGGTGATGAACTATTATTCACCAGTAGCAAGGTGTGCAATGCCTGGCCAATCATTTGCCTTCCCTTTCTCTGCCTTCTGGGGATGGGGGTTGGCACTCATAAGTGATTGAAAAATATATCTGAAAACTTTGATCATCTGTTCATAGAAAATGAAACATTAGATTATAGATGTGTATCTCTCTATTTATATTCAAACCGCATGGTACCATTTCATTATGATGCTCATTATACAAACTAGTCCATATTTTGCTTCTTCTGCAAATGAGACAGTTTCAACATCTAAGTTCTCAAGCATAAAAAAGTGCATCAAAAGAATAAAAATCCCTGGTTTCCAGACACATGCACACACAAATATTTGTATGAATGAATATATGTGTGTATGCATATGTATTTATGTATGTAGCTATCCATAGGGTTGATTCCAAACAAGGACACTCATCATAAATAAGAGATGGAAAAATCATAAATAAGAGATGGAAAATCTTTTTTGAGATTAGTATTTTCTAGCGGTACAACCAAAGGTCAACGATGTATAAAGAATCAATGGCAGGCTTGTAGCTTTGAATAACTCCCATTTTAAAAAGAAATAATTTGCGCGATCTTCGGTTTGGAAAAAACGGTGGCTTGGAATTTGTTTAAAGCTTTTGATGGGAAGTAATTTTATGGCTTTCATATAAATGGAAAGTTACTCAAAGCTACAAAATACCTATTTCTTTATACATCTTTGATCTCCGTCCTGATGGCTAGAATATAGAGTTCCTTTCTCTTGTTTTTAGATGTGTGTTCTGATTTGAAATCAACCCCATACATCTACATACATATACATATACATATCCATAATCCAAATACATATTCATATGCTTATATATATACATGCGTATGTATGCATATATGTATGTACACACATATGCACTTCAAATAAATTCATTGCTCTGGCCAAGTAGACTATTAATCCAGCACTATGCATATATGCATGTACGTATATATGCTCATGAGTAGTGCTGGAGTATATAGAAGTCTAATGCTTGCCTAGCCTCACAATATGAGACGAACTATTATTATATATTTTTCCTGTTTTATGTTTTACTGACTTCTGATTTTGTTTTTTAACAACTCTATGTGGTCTTTATTACTTGATACTACGTATATTATTAGAAGTTATATATCCTACCCTATTTATTTTCTCAGAGTTTTTACACATAAATCTGAGGCTTACGCCTCATGTGGCAACGGCCAAATGCCTCGGGGTTCAATTTTTTCCTTTCAACAAACAAGGCTTACGCCTCTATTTGAGTGTTCACATAGAGTCTTAAACCTCTTAGGTGCTTCATAGTTGCCTTTACGCCTCAAGGGCAGGCGCCTCGTTTGCCTTTGAAAACCTTGTATGTGTATATATATACATCTAGACACACATATGTATACGTACATACGCATGCAACTACAAGACAGTAACTTTTATCTCATTATATATTTCTATTACCTTACCAGGCGATCTTTAAGCCACCAAGAGCCGTGAGAGGTGGAATTCCTATTTGTTTCCCACAGGTGTGTTTTTCTTTCCTTATTTACATATATGTGACTATTTGAGTGTGCAGTAATCTTGACACTTTAACTGATCTGTCTATATTAATGTTTGTATCAAGTTTGGGAACCGAGGTTCCCTGGAGGATCATGGATTTGCCAGAAACAGGATGTGGGTCATTGATGAACATTCTCCACCACTACACCCCAATGACTCTAGTGGAAAGGCATTTATTGACTTGCTATTTAAACCCTCTAAGGATGATCTTAAAGTTTGGCCTCATGGGTATGACACAGGCTTAAAATTTTCTCCTTCCAGATTATTCAGCTTGACATTATATCTTAAGAAGACTTCTACAATATATCTTGATCATTAAATTGGTGAAAATTTTACCAGATTTGAATTTCGCCTTAGAGTTGCCATGACAGGTGATGGCTCACTCATTTTGATCTCCCGTGTGAGGAATGTCAACTGCAAGCCGTTTAGTTTCTCATTCGCCTTCCTCTCCTACTTTTTAGTATCTGATATCAGGTAACATTATGCTTATTATTTCCTGAAAAGGATTATAACTTCAATTGAACTTACATATTTAATTGAAAGCATCCTCTTAACCCATTTAAAAAAATTTGTCTTGGATGGTCATTCCTTAACATTTGCCAGTTTTTTTTTTTTTTTTTTTTTTTTACAGTGAAGTAAGATTGGAGGGTGTAGAGACTCTTGATTATCTTGACAACCTCCGCAACAGAGAACGCTTCACAGAACAGGGTGATGCATTGACATTTGAATCTGAGGTACAGATCATTGCATTTGATCATATCTAGAGCCAATAAGATGCATGCAAGTTTGGCCTCCTCTATACATTTAGACGTTTTTAAAAAAGGTGTAAACATTGAAACATATTAAGGAACCTTATAAAATGTTCACTTAATCTCACTTATGTTCAATATTAAATGTATTTTAAAAGCATTTAAGGAAGGTTGGAACAGATAATATGGGCAAATTTAGAAAATTAGTACCAAGTAAAATGTGTCATTTCAGTTCCCCATTGGTCATAGTTATTAGGCTTGAATGAGTGATTTATTTGAAAGAGCAACTGGTAAAATCAATTTCAGTCAAATAAGTAGGTAAAAAATTGCATTTACTGTTTCGCTATAGGTGGACCGAGTTTATCTAAGTTGTTCAGATGTGATTGCTCTCTTTGATCATGAGAAGAAGCGGACTATCTTTATCAGGAAGCAAGGGCTGCCAGATGTAGGTAAAAACTCTAAAATTCTTATCTGAACAATTTCATCATATTCTCAAAAATGACTTGCCAAGTTCAGAGGCCGAAATGGCGACGGAAGTATCACAAAAGACTCGGTTTGCAACTTGTTGCATCCATGACTGTTGATAATATTTGTTTTGTGAAAACAGTTGTCTGGAATCCATGGGAAAAGAAATCAAGAACCATAGTTGATTTTGGAGATGAAGAGTACAAACAGATGGTGTGTGTGAATGGAGCAGCAATTGAGAAGCCAATCGTGTTGAAGCCAGGCGAGGAATGGACTGGACGTGTGGAGTTAGCCATTTCATTTACAACAATCTGATCACCATCAACTGTTATTTTGCTTGCAGTTAGCGTGTTTTATCACTTTTATGTATCTATCATTGCCATTGAGGTGATATTATGAGTGAAAATGGGATGTCTTTTAGTTGTGATCCCTAGAATTCTTGTATCCATAAAAACTTTAATTCTTAAGCTGATGATTTTTTCGTTCTTTTTGAGTTGCAAGAACGAAATTAGGATTTAATACGGATTCAAAGACCAGAACAGAGAGGAACATTAAATTCAAGAAACAAATTTTTAAAGATCAAAAGAGATTATTTCGATCTGGGTTAAAATCGGTGGTTTATAATCAGTAAAAGAAAACACAAGTAAAAAAAAAGAACAGGGAAGCCACTCATATCAGAGCCAGGTTTCGATCTTGGGACCTGTGGGTTATGGGCCCACCACGCTTCCGCTGCGCCACTCTGATTTGTTGAAATAACTTCCGGATGACAGCTATCTATAACAAAGAGTTACTACTAAAGCAAGTGGCGGAGACAATGACACATTCCGAAGCAGCCCGTCATTACTTCTGCTTGTCGTATTAATTTTTGCGTTGATAGATTTTTTTTTTACTGCTTTTTTTCGTTGATAGATTAAAATACGTATTTAAATAAATTATCAACATTGCACATATATGTAATATAATCTTACCCTGAAGTTAATTTATAAAACGTGATTTTTATTTGGAAAAAAATCTGAAATTGTTTGAAATGCACTTCTAAGCACTTAAATTATAAGTTCAAAATTTTACATTTTAACTATTAGCCATAGGTAGGAGTACAATCTTTTTATTCACAAAATAGGAGAATATATGTCCCACTTTCTATTGAGTTTTTTTCCTAATTAATGCTAAGAAAAGAATTATTTACCAAATTAATGTTGAGTTAGAAATATTTACGAAAGTACTGCCCAATTAAACTATGGTTAAGAGAGTGGAACGAATTGGAAGTGGAACGTAGGAATTACGCAGGAGAGATGGATTAGTGGGGCCAAGTCAAAAAACAATTCTCCTTTTCTTTAACCTGTAATAAATTTTATATTTTTGCTCCAAAATTTATAAAAATATATCAATTTTCATAACTTTTTATGATCTTTCATATGACACCAATATCATATATAAAATTTAAAAAGAAAAACTGAAATAAATGGACAAACTGTAACAAAGCCCGTTCAATCAATCTAATTCTAAACCAATATTTTTTACAGACACAACATTTTTCATAAATAAATCAAAGTGCTAAAATTAAGATACAATGATTATTTTCGCATTTTATAAAAGGTTATTTTTTTAAAAAAATTACATCTTTGAATAGTTTTGAATCACTTGTGGTGACGTAACATGGTTACAAATACCTTAAAGATGACAAGAATATTTGGAAGATGTAAATGTTTGCAAAATATAATGTTATAACTACTTTTCATCACTTCAAATGAAATAAAATAGATGAAAGATGTAAACATAATTATGAGATCTTAATTTTGCAGTTCATTCTATTTAAGAAAATATCTGAGTCTGAAAAACTATTCTAATTGGGTCTTTTGATTTTTATAAACTAAAAATTTGTTTAGAATTAAATTTGTTGACCGGTTGAGTCTAGCTTTCATGTTATACATAGGGATGACAATGGGGCGGATCAATGACGATTTTACATATCGAGCCCGTTTGGTGATTCCTTTTTTAGGCTTATCAGGCTTATCAACCAGCTTTTTCACCAAACACGTAACTTTTGATTTCGTGCTTTGAATTTTGTAATAAGCAAAAAAACTAAGGTTGAAGTTACTTTTATGATTGTATTGGCTGAAGTGACTGTAGAGGATCATTTTAGCTATTTTCTATTTAATTTTTTTTTAATTTATTAATAATTTTTTTTTCGTGAATCAGCCAATACAACCACTTCAGTCATAACTTCATAAATTTCAGCAGAATCAGCCAATTCACCCAATTTTAGTGTTACCAAACGGGCTCATAATCGTACCCGCTCTATTGGGTAATTCGCCCACCCCGTAGACCGTAACCGCCTCATTATCCAACAGATAATTTTTACTCAAATCACAACCGCTCCAATGGGTAACGAATATAACCATGAGTAATTACTTTATTAAATGAGTCATTGATCTTTAATACGGAGTATAAATGATCGGAGCGGGTAACGCGTATAACCGCAGCTATTCGCCGCCTCGTACCCGTTACTCGGTCGATGCGGTTTTCTCTATTTTGATCGGAGCGGTTCGGTGTGGGTGTCTAACGGATCGGTCACAATTGTAATCCCTAGTTATATGTCTTCAAATTTTGTAAAACTTTATATATGACATATTGGTGTCATATGAAAGGTAATAAAAAATTATGAAATTTGATATAGATTTTATAAAATTTGGAATGAAAACACAAAAGTTATAGCAATTTAGAGAAAATGGAGATTTTTTAACATGATCCACACTTTCTCTCTCCTACGTGTGGCATCCTACCGTCCTACGCATGACGGTCATTTCCTTTGGCTCCTGTCCTTTCCGAATTATAAAGGTAAGCTAACTCTAGTTAACCCAACAGCATTTTCGTATATACTTTTAACTGAACTGTTGAAATATTATTGAATTAGTCATCTTCCAACTATTCCTGATTAGGAATTATTATCACCATTATATAAATAATCAGGAAATCATAATTATGATTCTAGATGATAATTGTGTGGTTCACAATTATCCTCTAATCCTATGAAGCTTAGTTTTTCTCCTATAAATAGGAGGCTTCTCCATTGTAATTAATACACCATTACAACACCATTATCACACTTCTAATAACATCTTTCTCACTAAGTATTCAGACTATACTTTCTCTCCCTGATCTTACTTATTTCCTTCCATATTATAACACGTTATCAGCACGAATTTGCTCCAAATCCGTGAAATCATCATCTTCCCAGCAGGTATATTTTTTCATGAATTTATCAACTTATCTGAAAAAGAAAAATCAGAGGTTGAGATCAGAAGTACATAGCATAAACCTGTTTATATATATTAAAACTATAAGAAGTATGCTCTATGGTTGCCCAACCATTGGGATCCTCCATATCAGAAAATTATAGCTATGTTTTCTATAAAAGAAGTTGAAGAAGATAGACTAAATACAAATCTGGAATTCTTATAAATATTCTATTCACGAAGTAGCAATTATATTATTATTAGACATATGATTTTACTTTTATTCAAGCTTTAATACTACAGGAACATATATACATACCTTAAAATCAAAGTATTATCTCCACTTCATCCTCACAAGTACTTCGGTCATCTTCTAAAGAGGAGTATGTATACTGCTTATACTGCTCTTTATAAGAGTGAAAGAAAATATATACGGAGTAAATAGTATCATAGTAGAGGAGATATACGGAGTATGATTTTAAACCTAAAAACGAAAGAATTGATATATACCATATAAGTACTAGCCAGGCCATGACTTGCTTAAACTCAATATATATATATATATACGAAGTAAGATCGAAGATCACGAGAATCAAATGAATATGGCCCTCTGTCACATGCAAGCCTGAAACATATCTGATAAGTTATCTCTACACATTTAATTCAAAATCATAAACAAACAAAAAATAAATAAATAAATGTGTCTGATAATAAATGCATAAGTTTGTACGTAGCATTTACTCTTGGGAACATTGCATGTAGATAAAAAGACAAAATTCTGCCAACAAACTCACATGGTTAACAAAATATAATTTATTAGTCATCAATATATACTCCGTAATACACATGAATCATTCATACATTCACATCATGTGTAACCAACCATTCTCCAGTATTACATTTACTACATGGTGTCATTTGATTATTTGGTAAGTAATTCATAACAAATATGAATAATAATGAGTTTGATATTATCGATTCCTAATTTCCTAATTATTTACGCATGTATCAAATAAAAAAAAAACATATGCTCCGTACGTATAAGGTTAATTAAAAAAAAAAAATTGCCAAGTTTATTTCCAAAACCAAATTGACGGACTAGAAGCAATTGATGATTTCTTTGATTATAATTATACGATAGTATATATTACCTTATATATTTTCCTGATTAAATCAATACTTTTTGTAGTATTATGGCACATATTAGCAAAAGAGAGTTTGACGTCCTTGATTTATCTGGCCAAAAGTATTTGGAATGGAAAGTCGACGCTTTGGCACATTTGAAAGCAAATGCCCTTGAAAATACAATTGCTGAAAATAATTCAGCCACTCCCCAAAATAAGGCAAAAGCCATCATCTTTCTTCGTCATCATCTTCATGAAAGTTTGAAATCTGAGTATTTATTGGTAGATGACCCTAAAGAATTATGGGATAATCTCCAAGAAAGGTATGGCCATCAACAAAAGGTCCTTTTACCAAAAGCTCAATATGACTGGATAAATTTACGATTCCAGGATTACAAATCTGTAAGTGACTACAATTCTGCTTTGTTCCAAATAACATCAAAACTAAAGTTATGCGGACAAAAAGTCACTGATGCTGAAATGTTGGAGAAAACTTTGTCCACTATGCATGTTTCAAATGTGCTTTTACAAGAGCAATATAGACAAAAGCATTTTCAAAAGTATTCTGATTTGATATCAGTATTACTATTTGCTGAGACGAATACCGACATTTTGATGAGAAACCACAATATGAGACCCACGGGTTGTAGCCCGGTTAGTTTTGGTCCACCAAATCATGGTTCAAAACATGAATCAAATGCAACCCATAGTGGTGCTCGTGGACATTTCAAACGTGGTCGTGGTATTGGTCGTTATAATGGACCTAGCCGGGGAAACAAACAGAGTAGTAGCTCATTTTACAAAGGCAAGGGTAAGCAAAACCGCCATCAAACAAAGAGCTCGACGAAATCTTCAGAAAAGGCCAAAGTCACTTGCTTTAAGTGTGGCACGTCGGGACATTGGGCAAATAAGTGTCGTACACCTAGACACTTGATTGATTTATATAAATCATCTCTAAAAGGAAAGAATGTGGAAACTAATTACGTCAACGAAAACGATCCACCAATGCCCACATTTAATGTGTCTGATTTCTACATGGACGATAATGAGATGAACACCGACATCGTTATGGGTGAAAAATAATAAATAAGTAAATAAAAGAAATTTGAAATTATTCTGCTATGTAATATATTCTACAATAAAAGTTTGTTGTATTGTAATTTTTATTTGGTGTGCTTA